ATAATAACAACAACAATAATAATCATAACAATAACAACAACAATATTATTATTAATAACAACAATAATAACAACAATATTAATAATAATAACAATAACAACAACGATAATAACAACAACAATAATAATCATAACAACAACAACAATAATCATAACAATAATAACAACAACAATATTATTAATAACAACAATAACAACAACAATATTAATAATAATAATAATAACAATAACATTAATAATAATAACAATAACAATAACAACAAAAATAATAACAGCAGCAATAATAATAATCATAATAATAATATTAATAGAAACTGAAACTCTAACTAGCGATCCCATGTAAGCACAGATCTGCACTCAGCACTCGGAGTATGAGAAGAGCACGACTCTCGGCTACTACCACACCAAGCTTTAGCTCATTGTCTGTAAAAATAACTCAGTTGTAGTCGTTTTTCTGTTTTCTCAGTTTGCCTAGATTTAGCAGCCATCTTGAATTGTTTTGACTTCAAACATTTAAGAGTTGTAGATGTACCTTCAGTCATTACTTCCTGAAAGTGTCATTAAAATGTGTCCATTGGTTCAGGAGATATTTTGCTAACAAACAGTGATCAGTGCTCACATACATCGCTCTGAGGCTAAGCTATCTAAAACCGTCTCTGCAGTCGGCTGACGAACACCGAACTCGTGCCCAAGACGCCACCACGTCTTTAAAGCTGCTCAGTCACCTTCAGGACACAAAATAAAACACGGAGTAAAGAGCCGAAGGCCTGCTGAAGCTGAGCTGGTAAAGCTGAAAGAATTAGAACACTAGCTAAAATCTAAAGGTAAAAAAAGGCTAATTAAAAGAAGTAGCTTAATGATGAAAGTGGAAGAACACAAGGTAAAAACATAAAGCATCAGAATGTTAGCTTTAACCTCAAAACACTTGATATAGTGGCAAAAAGCTGGCAGAAAGCTAAAAGAAGCAAAACACTAGCTAAATGTTAAAAGTAGCAAAAGGCTTGCTAAAAAGTAAATACAGCAAAGTGCTAGCTAAAAGTTTAATAAAGCAGAACACTAACTAAAATCTAAAAGCGTCAAAAGGCTAGCTTGAACCTAAAAACTTAAAACACTTGCTAAAAGAATCAAAGCACGAGCTAAAATGTCAATGTAGCAAAATTCTTGCTAAAAAGTACAGCTGCGATAGCTTGGTGGTCAGTACTGTGGTCTTGTTCTCCTGAGGTTGGGGGTTCAAGTCCGGGTTGCGTTGCGAATGGCATCCTGCATAAATGCTAATACTACAGCAGGGCGCAGCCGAAAGAAACTAGTAGCTAAAGATAAATGTAACACAAGGCTAGCTAAAAAGTTAATATAGCTAAAGTTAGCTGAAGTTTAGTGAAGCTAAATAAAAGCTAAAAGAAAAAATTCTAGCTTGAGCATAGAAAATTAATAAACTAGCTAAAAGAAGCAAACAGCTAACAAAAACACAAAAATTTAAAATGCAAGGTAAAAGCTAAACAAAGAAGAACACTAGCTAAAAGTTAAAAACATCAAAAGGCTAGCTTAAACCTAAAAAAATAAAACTAGCTTAAAGTAGCAAAACACAAGCTGAAGACTAAAAGTAGCAAATCACGAGCCGAAGACTAAAAGTAGCAAA